ATTCCAAAGTTGATGTTGTGAAACACTAACACTTCTTAGTATCTGTAATTCTCCAAGTAGCCCTTGTATGATCGCGGCCACCTTCCTGAAAAAGTACTGTAAATCTTGATAATCAATAAACAAAAAATGAATTCAAAACATAATATTATTATATATTCCCGAAATAATGAGCCATCTAACACGTCCACTGAAGTGTCACTTTAGAGGAACCTAGGATTCCTTTCCCTATGAACTTAAACATGTATTCATAATGAGCGGGGTTTGAGTGACTAAAAAAGCATAACGCAACCAGTAAAGGATGAACGGTAAAGCAAAGGTTGAAAACCAAGTAACCCTGGAGTGAATGGGTTATACAGTAGGTTTGAATTATGTGGAACGTTAATATTGTTCATCCATTTAAAAAAGATGACATGTAAATATTCAAAAGCAAAAGCAGGATTCTATAGATACCAACACATCTCCGCGGATTCTATCCCATAACAGAAAATGTGCATTTTTAAGCGCTTCAAATACGGGATTGATAGCAGTTCAGTTTAATCAGTATACGGTTGGAAAAACGGTCACCGTTAGTGAACTAACTGCAATCACAAGGTCTGAAACATAACAGTACACATATTCACGTACAGTGTCCGGTGCCTGGGAAACTGGCACAGGCCAGAAGAAAAATGTCATATAAACTTCATTACTTAATTACATTCCCGTTTTCCGGGGGAAATTTTATTGTAAAATGAGAAACAAGTCGAATGATGTTTCCTTTTACGATTTGCCACCGATTGTGGAAGAATGAACATTGTTCGCGCTCAGATGTAGAACAGCAAACATTTTCAAACAAACACTAATGCTGATTGTGCTGAAAGTACAGAAGAAAATGCAATGAATTTCAGCCGAACAAGCTCATAATTATAGGGATATGGTAGGCATGAACATAACTCTTGCTTGAGTCATTCGCTTGTTTGTCACACATCATTTCGATTCACGAAACAAGCAAACAAAACCGTGGACTATAAGAACAAAAATAACAAGAAAATGCATATTTGAATAATTTCATCCAAGTTTATACACAAAAAAACAAATTCTAAGCACTTCTTGCATGTTGAATGAAAGACATTTGGAAGAAGGTTCCTGCCGATGATAATTCTACTCACATCTTACAATTTTAGTAAGTCTACTTTTTACTTTCTTTTCGCTTGTTTTGGACATATCTCACCGGGAATGCAAATGTATTGCTGTTTTCTTCAATGTGGGGAGATACATCCGCTCAGTCGGTGATAGCTAGATAAGGTGGCCGAAATAAGTACTATATTTTACCTCCTAATTTGAGCAATCAAGAAAACACAAGTTGAAAAACAAGCAAACTGATGAGAATTTACCAGAATACCACGGTTTCGAAATCACAGAAATGCATGAACTAAGCGTTTTGGTTGCGTAATAATGAGTTTTTCTATTTTTCTAATAAACACTAGTGTGTGACGAACAACAGACTTGGCGGATCGCATAATCACGAAGACCCGTTGTTCAGTGATTGTAACCGGCCCCGGGACTTGGAGTGGCTATCCACATAAGGCGTGGTACAGAATCGGGTGACAGGAACGCTGACCAGCACCAACTGCTTTTGTATTTCAAAATTGGATTTGCTTGTTTGAATGAGATTGCACAAAAATAACCAGAGTGATTGAACTGAACTTGATCCCTCCCTGTCTGGTTTTGACTCTTTCATTCTCTGTCTCACAGATATGCATATACACGGGTGAACGCACATAAAAGGCTGTATATGAATACGATGGCAAACGCTGGTTTCCAAGAAAAACTACGTATACTTCGATCTGCCTTAAATTTCAATGGACAGATTATCTGTAGAATGATTAGAATGGCCCAAACGAAGTGTTCATAAGATTGTTAGCTGGTAATTGTTACCCACCATAGATAATCGCATTATGTAGACGAAAATCGAACAAGCTACTCCGGTGTAAAACAACCTCTTTGTATGGTTTTGAACAAATAGTATTATGTACATATTACACAATTAACAAATCACCTGTTTGAGGATTTGCTTCATTTTCGCACTAATGTGCCCCAGTACACACAGAAGCAGACGCACACACGGGGTATATGCAGTTTAGGAATCCGTGCAACGTAAATTGAGTCTGACGTGTGAATGGCACTAGCCATAGAAAGTTTTCAGTCCGTGGCTGAGAAATGGGAGGAGAAGGCTTTTCCTTACCATTATGTGGTGTTTTCCACGTTGCGGTGAATCTTTGATTATTCATAAAGTTTCATTGTTGTTTGTTGTGTTTTTCTGTTTAAGTATGCATGTGTGGTTGGGTGGGCGCCGAGTAAAAAGGTGACTGGACCTTATTGGAAAAGGTTCACGGTAACAGGGATCGGCGAGAGCACTTTCCAGTAAGCTTCAGACCAGCTGGCCATATGGAAGAGCACAGGGGGGGGGGCGGGTAAATAGAAGAGTTCGTGAGCGAAACAAAGGAATAAACAGGTAAATTGATCAGGCTGTACTCACCGCCGGACTGAGCATGCAAACAGAAGGTCGTTTGCGATTGACGGGTGGATTTTGTTGCGGATAAATATCCTTGAATCGTTGAGCTTGCAATTCATGTTGCTGCATGGCCTCTTGAAATTCTTGGTGATGATGACGATAGGAAATCGATGGTGGATTAGTATTTGCCTGACTAGCGCGATGTGCTCCCGATTTAGTGCCGGGCTTGTCAACTTGGGTTTCTGCTCCGTCGGAGCACCGGTCTGGCGTTTCTATCAGATGCAAAAATGGTTGGGTAGTGCGCCTTGGTTTCAGAACAAGTGATACATTTTCTTCAGAATCTCCTAATTCGTTCAGAAAATTGGCACCTTCGGGAGCACTTTGAGCATGGATGCTTCGAACTGCTTGCACTTCTCCTTCGGCTCCCGTTTTCTTCTTTATCTTTGTACTAGGGTCCGATGAACTCGGAGATCTAAAGGCACTCCAAGTATCTTCCTCCTGCTCGTCTTCCGATGAATTTACAGCTTCCAATGCACCCAAACCCTTATTATTACTTGACAGGTGCACATAAACCGATTTATCTTCAGCTTCCGACTCTCTATGGTAGAAATAGTTGAAGTTCGATACGATTACGGGCACTGGTAAGGCAATGGTCAAAACACCAGCAATGGCACACATCGAGCCCACAATTTTGCCCCACATTGTGACTGGTCTCATATCGCCGTAACCAACTGTAGTCATTGTGACTACAGCCCACCAGAAGGCATCAATTATGCTCGGAAACTGTTCCTCCGTTGCATCCACTTCGGCAAAATACACGGCAGCAGAGAACAAGACGACGCACACAAATAGAAAGAATGAAAGAAGACCCAACTCACGAAAACTTGCTCTTAAGGTACGTCCGAGAACTTGGAGACCTTTTGAGTGGCGAGACAACTTGAATATTCGGAATACACGCACCAGGCGTATAACTCGCAAAATGGACAGCGACATGGCTTGATTTTGTGTCTTAGTATTCTCAGCCACCAGGGTGCCAAGGGTAATGGCATAGGGAATTATAGACACTATATCAATGAGGTTCATAATCTGTTTGAAAAATACTACCTTCTGTGGACAGGAAGCAAAACGGATGAGGAGTTCTAAAGTATACCATACAATGCAGAGTGATTCCATGATGAAAAAGGCCCCAGACGTATGAGGTGTATCAACAGGGACAATAACCGGTTTTAACTCGTCTTCCGGCCGCTGAATTTCATAATGCCGGAAATGCGGAAGTGTTTCCACACAAAAAACTACGATGGAAATTAGAATGACCGTGACAGAAATAATTGCAATGCATCTGGCTGCAGTTGAGCTTTCTGGATATTCAAAAAGAAGCCACATCTTGCGCTGGAAATCATTTTTCGGAAGCACATGTACGTCTTCTTTAATAAATCCTTCGTCTTCTCGATATTTTTCGAATGCTTCTTCACCCAAATCATAAAATTTGATTTCTTCCGTGAAAACGTCTATGGGGACATTCACAGGCCGTCTTAATCTTCCACCACTTTGATAAAAATAAAGTATTGCGTCAAAACTCGGACGGTTGCGATCAAAGAAATATTCATTTCTTAGTGCATCGTAGTAGCGATTTCTCCTATAAGGACATCCCAGAAGTGTATTCGGAAAACGGCCCAAGGTGCTTTTCTGAGTTTCGAAGCGTAATCCACTGACGTTGATAATAACTCGTTGATCTGACATCTCCCAGTTTTGACCCACATTGGGTTCATACGCTTCCGTTGGCTTCGTCATATACTTGCACATCGTCGATAAATGCACCAAATCTTATGCGTGCCACCAGCAGGTGGAGACAAAGGTGAAATGGAAAGCATAATTCCAAAGAAGAGTTATTTTCCGAGACAGAAAACAGCGGGACGGTATTGTCAACGTTAATTCCACGCGAGCATTGAATACCACTGGGAATTTCCCCACAACAATGTAACCCTCAAGTTTATTAAGCTAACTGTGTTACCATTGGCTGCACGGTTACTGGGCTCCTCGAACTTCATTGGCTGAAAACAGCACCAGATGTAGCCGATGAGGATTGTAGAAATTTCCATATATCTGATCTTAAAAAGGTAAAAAATTTCATTGCTCATGATAATAGGAGTTTCTCTGTGAATCGCAATAGGGCAGGTCAATATTGTTTCGTCAATGGTGAGAGGGGTCTCAAAAGGTGGCGGAGGAAACATCATGAAAAACCTGGGAATACTGCTTTTCTGAACCATTTATATTTCTTTCAACACATTTTAGGAAAACTTTTCTATTTTTTACAAGTCTTTGAATTTTCTTCGCTGTTTTCATGCGTAACGCTGTATGGCGCGCACTGGCGCCATATTTGAAGTTGAGCGATGACGCAGTTCCTGCCGCCTAATTTGTTGGCACTTTTTGCTCCACGCGATCCCATTCCGTACCTTCCACCAATCGAGAAGCATGCTCATCACAGGAAACTTCCTTACACTGGTGTAGCACAGTTTCTTGGAGAATTCGAGGTAATTTTGCACATTTTTCCTCATTTCGTTGCATAAAATATACCATTTTGTTTCATGCGTGAGGACGTTATAATTGGTTCACCTCATTTCACCGGCCCTAACCAGTTCATTTACGATTAGGATTAACTGACTTCTGTGCAACCTATGATTGCTCATTAGTGCAGTACACAGGTTCCAGTCCGTAGTTTTTTCGCTTGTTCGAGACTGGTGGATATTCTAAGATTCGATTATTTACAACGTCAACTCTGAAACTTGATTAAACGTCAGGTTATTGTGACATTTGAATCCAGTGTTGAAACACGCGTTTCGTATGCTTTCAGTTTTTGTTTTTGGTAGTTGGACTGAAGGGCTGAAAGTGAGCCAAGATGCACACGCAGACCAGATGTCATTTTACTCTTGATAGCTTGAACAGTAACCCGATGTGTTCATCAAGTCAGCCTCGAAACAGCAGAAGCATCTCACTTTAGCTCTGGAGCTTGAGGGGTATCTAAAAAAGCAGCGTCTCTGATCAGACAAACTGTTGTGTATTTCGTGGTAGACTCGTTGGTCTTTAAAATTGCTCGAAGACAAGTAAGTTGTTCATGTTTCGGGACGGTTTGAGAGTTAGGGTAACTTTATTTAACATATTTTTGCTTTTGTAGTGTCTACTGTCGTGGGAGTGGGTTTGCCGCGCTTTTCTTAATCAGATACGCATTGTCATGCCTACTAGCGAATCGTTACACCGATATTCTCATCACCTATGATTCTGCAGTGGTTTCAGACAGACAATGTAATATGCTCGAGAGTCACCATCTTTGGTCTGCGTATTCCGCATGGTTG